TCATGAGATGCCAGGGACCCGTCCAGTTCGGAAACAGGCAAAGGCTAGAATGAAGTCTCTTCGTGCTCGTCTTCCTCGCCTGCAGATGCTGCGCCGAGGAGCGGGTGTACAGGTCACCGCTCTATGGCGCACAGGACTGCTACCTGCTGTTGGCCACGGCGCTGCTGTGGCAGGTATCACACCTTCGGAGCTTGCCAGTATGCGAAAGATTGCTGGCACGCTATGCGGACGCACCTCTGGTCATAACTCGCTCACGTTGGTATTAGCCACGCAGAAGGATAGGCTATATGATCCCATATATCACGCCACGCTGGAGCCCCTCAAGGCCTACTGCAGTTTCGTGTGGGATCAAAGGGTGTCATTGGGACGTCTACAAAGGGGCTGGGTGGCCCTCCAAGGTAAGATCAAGCAGAAGATGTCTTGGGATGGGGTTCGTGGGCCCATGGAGGTTCTGGCACTTACTCTGTCACGTATAGGATGGAGCATGAGCTCTAGCACCACGATCGTTGATGACCAGGGCTACGTGCTGGACCTTCTGCGCCTGCCGCCCAAGACTATTTTGGAGTTTGCCCGCCAAGGTGTGGAGCGCTGGCAGGGCAGGCAGATCTTGGCCCACCATCAAGATATATGCTATGGACATGAAGTCATATGGATGCGCGCGCTGAGGAAGTGTGTTGGTGGGGCCAAGGCTGCAGTTCGCAGTTCAAGATTTTCGGGTGCGCTTCCCACCCTATGGTCAGGAGGCTTCTGGACGAGGGACAGGCAGCACCAAGCAGGGTACAACATTCCTGCTAAATGTCCATGGTGTCCCTCGGAACGCTCCACACTCGGTCATTGTATTTATGATTGCCAAGGATTGTATGATGATTGTTATGACGAAGACTTGGTGTGGGATCCGAAGAATAATGTGTGCTATGAATATCTCAGGGCACGAGGAGTTCCAGGTCTGGGGCCTCCCGACTGGGATAGGTTCGACTGCTGCATGTGCATGCCCATGTACCCTGCGGTGCCCCCGAAGGTCTCATATGGGCTCGAGGTTCACCTCTGGGGCGACTGGGATTCGGACCGAAGTGGCTGGACCTCCCTGGTGTTCACCGATGGGTCGGGGCTTGCTCCTGGACTTCCTGAAATTACCAGATGTGGTTGGGGATTCGTTTGTTTGGGAGACAATGGGCTACCAGTCAGAGGGGCGTACGGTCCCCTCGAGGGGCCATGGCAGACGGTAGGAAGGGCTGAGAGAGCGGCCCTGTACTATGCTTTGAAGTACCTGCCCGACGTCAGACTGGTGGTGTCGGACTTGTCCAGCCTGGTCAAAGAAGGAGCCAGCTGGGACCATGCCCTCCAGGAGGCTGACGCCTCGTATGCTGATTTATGGAGGCAGATTTTCGCGTTGATGGACGGCAAGGACGTTTGTCCTCCAAATTTTTATTGGTGCCCTGCTCACAAGACGGCTCAGCAGTTTACCGAGCAGGATTGCCATCCATGGGAGTACTTTCTTGGCAATGCTTGGGCCGACAGGTTCGCTAAATGGGGCGCATGTTGTCATGACCCGTCTGAGACCCTGGAGATGTCGTTGGAATCGAATATATGTGATGCTAAACTGCAGGCCAGGATGTTGTCATGGGTGGTGTGCAAGATGGCGTATCGTGACTCATTGACTGGGCGGCCCAGTAGGTTAGCCAGACCCCCTGCCCCAGTCAGGCCCGTTAGACTCACGGCCCACGAGATGGCCGTTCTCTCGCCAGGAGTCTTCCAGTGTAGGTCTTGTCTTGGGCTTGCTAGGACCCAGGCGAGCCTCAGCAGGCTTCTAGGGACCCAGTGTGAGCCCACGGCCCAACAGAGGCTCAGAGCCAGTATGCTTACTGAGCTACAGAGCGCGCCTCCGATGCAGGCGGAGGCTGTGCGGGTGGCCCTAGAATTTTCTGACTTCCTCGAGGGCGTTTCCGCGAATGCGAATCCGACTGAGCCGCCTCCCGAGGAGGTGGTGGAGCTCAACGGGCACCAGGTGCTCGTTACCCCCAAGTGCATGGTCTGCACTTCTTGTGGCTCCTATCAGGTGTCTTCTGGCAAGGTGAATAACTGTAAGCTTGGATCTGCGGCCTGTAATGGCGCGTCCCAGCACGGGCCTACCCGATCTAGGCAGAAATACATCATCTCAGCCTGTAGGGCTGGGAAGGACCCTAAGACGGGCAAGATGTTAACCTAATTTTGTATGGGTATGGCCCGTGCTCCTGTCCTTCAGTTGCACGACTGGTCGGCCGTGTCTCCTCCTCCTCCTCCTCCTCCTCCTCCTCCCTCCTCCTCCTCCTCCCTCCTCCCTCCTTCCCTCCTCCTCCTCCTCCTCCTCCCTCCTCCTCCTCCTCCTCCTCCTCCTCCTCCTCCCTCCTCCTCTCCTCCTCCTCCTCCTCCTCCTCCTCCTCCTCATCCTCCTCATCCTCCTCCTCCTCCTCCTCGGCCCCCTCGTGGTGCCCTCCGCGACGGGTGCCGCGCGTCCGCCCTCCGGGGCCCACGGCCGGCGCCCCTCGCATGGCCGCCGGCGGGCGCTTCCAAGGGGCGAGCCCCTTCAGCCCTGCTGCCGGTGGCCCGCAGCGCAGGTGGCGCCCGCCTCGCGTGGCCGCCGTGTGGTCCAGGTGCTGCGCTCGTGCACCGCCTGCGCCGAGCAGCGGCGAAGCGTCCCGGCTGGCTTGTGGGGCTCACCCGGGAGGGGGTTCTGAGGACGTGTTCTGCGGTCTGCACGAAGTGTTCTGGGCTCGTTTCTGGCTGGGAGGGTTTTGTTTTCACTCCTGGGGCTGATGTTCTAAGAGCACCGTTCTTGTTCGTAGAGCATTTTGGGGTTCTAAGGACAATCTGTGGTAGGCATATGGGAATGCCAGGACGGTGGGTCCCTTCTCAACTGCAGTGCGATGTTTGATCTGGTTCGCGGTCGCTC